CCTCTCTTAGCTCCTTAAAGACATACAATTATCTTAAGTAATAATTATAACAATGTATTATTGGGTTTGTCATGCATAGAAACGTGACATATGTAACAATAATAGCACAGAAAGGAGGAAGAGGGAATAGACCTATATAGGAGTAACCTCTTATATCTCACTGGAATTAAATTAATATAAATGTGAAATAGATTTTGATGTTAAGAACTATATAGTAAGCCATAGAGCAAACAAAAACTACTATAAAAATGAGAAATGATTAAAGAAATTAAATATTATACTAAAAAATATTCATTAGTATAAAAGAAAGAGAAACAGCAGAACAACAAAGACATGAGACATATAGAAAACAAGGTAAAATTGTGTACCTAAATCCAACTATATCAATAATTACATTAATTGTGAATGGATTAAAAATTTAATCAAAAGGCAGAGATTGCGAGAATAAAAATAAAATTATATGCCATCTACAGAAAACACTCTTTAAATTCAACAGAAAAAATTATCTGAAACTAAAAGAATGGAAAATATATACCATGCAAACTATTGTAAACAAGAAAATAAAAGATTTGGACAACTGTAAAGGAACTAGACCTAAGATACTTCAGCAAAACACTCCATTTAACAATTGTAAAATATACGTTTTTCTCCAGTGCACAAGAAATATTTTCCAGTATAGATCACAGTCTAGGTGATAAGACAAACCCAAATAAATTTGAAATGACTGAAATTGTGCAGTGTATGTTTTCTGAATTTAACGGTTTTAAATATAGAGAGAAAAAATAGGGAAAATCATAAATATGTGGAAATTAAATACTACACGTGTAAATAACCAAGAGATCACAAGAAAATTACAAGGGCAATTAGCCAATACTTTGTGTTTAATAAAGGTAAAACAAAGCATACCAAAACTCAGGGCATGTAAGTAAAGTAGTGCTTAGGAGAATATTTATAAGTTGTAAATTCCTATATATTTTTTTAAAATCTCAAATCGATAACCTAGCCTTATACCTTAAGACACTGGAAAAGAAGAGCAAACTAAACCCAAGCAAATAGAATGAAGCATACAATAAAAATGAAAGCAGAAATTAATGAATTAGAGAATATAAATAAAGAAAACCAATAGAGAAAGCCAGGGAAAGCAAAAGTTGGCTCTTTGATAAAATCAGGAAAATTAAAAATCTTTAAATTGACTGACCTAGAAAAGAAGAGATAGGCTGAAATTACTAAAATCAGAAATGAAAGATGAGACATCATTGCTAATATTATGAAAATAGGGCCGGGCGTGGTGGCTCATGCTTGTAATCCCAGCACTTTGGGAGGCCAAGGCAGGTGGATCACGAGGTCAAGAAATCGAGACCATCCTGGTCAACATGGTGAAACCCCGTCTCTACTAAAAATACAAAAAATTAGCTGGGCATGGTGGTGCGTGCCTGTAATCCCAGCTACTCAGGAGGCTGATGCAGGAGAATTGCCTGAACCCAGGAGGCGGGGGTTGCGGTGAGCTGAGATCGTGCCATTGCACTCCAGCCTGGGTAACAAGAGCGAAACTCCGTCTCAAAAAAAAAAAAAAAAAAAAAAAAAAGAAAAGAAAAAGAATTAAAAAGCAATACTGTGGACAACTATATTTCAACAAATTAGATAACTTAGATAAAATAGACATTTCTAGAAGACACAAACTACCAACACTGACTCTAGAAAAAAAGAAAAAAATTGAATACCTCTATAGGAATAAGGATATTGATTTGGTATTTAAAAACATTGCCACAATTAAAATCGGACTCAGAAGGCTTCAATATTGAATTATAACAAAACTTTAAAGAAGAATTAGTACCAATTTGTCACAAATTCTTTCAAAAATACAAAAGATGAAGGAACACTTTTCAATTCATGTCTATGAGATGTTCATAGACATTACAAGAAAACTACAGACCAACTTTTTCTATGAATGCAGTCTCTGAAAAATACTCAACAAAATTCGATTACACTAAATCTGACAGCTTTAAAATGGGATTATATTCCATAACCAAGTGAGATTAACCCAGAAACAAGGTTGATTTATTTTAAAATAAATTTCCATGATAATAATAAAGCGTGATAATATAATAAAGAATAAAAGACAGACAATCATCTTAACAGATAAATAAAAAGCAGTTGATAAAATTTGACACACATACATTACACAAAATATTCCACAAACTAGAAACAGAAGAAAACTTAAAATCCACAGCTGACATCATACTTGATGAAATACTGAATGCTTACCCCTAAGACCTGGAACAAGACAAGGATGTTCATCATTACCATTTATAGTCAAGACAGGGAATTGTTGCAATATAATCAGTTAAAAGGCTTCCAGATTGGAAAGAATGATGCAACATTGTCTCTATTTGGATACAGCATGATCTTTTATTTAAAAAATTCTAAAAATCTAAAAATTATTAGAAATAAGTTCAGTAACTTCGCAGGGTGCAATAATAATATACAATAATGGATTGTGTTTCTTTACAGTGGCAATGAACAAAATGAAAATAAAATGAAAAATTCCCACTTATAATAGCTTCAAAAAGGAAAAAATACTTATAAATTAATTTAACATAAGATGTGCAAAGTTCATATTCTGAAAACTACAAAAGATTCTTGAAAGAAATTAAAGAAAACCTTGAAAAATGGAGCTATGCTTGTTCATAGATTGACTTTATAGTTGGTATGCCAGTATTCTCCAAATTAATCCATAGGTTCATGCAGACCTTATCAAAATCCCAATGGACTTATTTTCAGAAATTGGGAAGCTGATTCTAAAATTTATATGGAAATTTAAGGGGCCCAGAATAGTGAAAAAAATTACGAAAATGGAAACCAAATTTGGAGAACTTACACTTCTTAATTTCAAAATCTACAAGTTACTACAAAATTGAAGTAATCGAGACTATTTTGACTAGCATAAAACTGGATCTACATGCCATTGGGACAGGATTATAAGACAAGAAATAAACTTTTATATGAATCAGTTTATGCTCAATTGATTTTCAACAGGAGTACATATGCCATTCAACGGGGAAAATAATAGGATTTTCAACAAACGGTGCTAAGACAACTAGATAGCTACATGCAAAGTAATTAAGTAGCACAACTGCATCACATTATAAATTAACTCAAAACGGATCAAAGAACAATATTCCATTTTGGAACATTGGATCACTCCAAAAAGAAATCCACACCCATTAAGGGTTACTCCTCATTTCTTCCCAACTCCCGAAACCTATATAGTCACTAATTTGCCTCTTGTTTCTACAAATATATTTTTGTTATTTTACATAAATGGAATCATACATTGTTTTGTGAATTACTTCTTTCACTTAGTGTGTTTTCAAAATTCATCCATGCTCTCACATGCAACAATACTTTATTACTTTTTATAGCCAAATAGCACTCCATTGTATGAATATGCACATTTTATTTATCCATTTATCAGAGAATGGGAATTTAGGTTGTTTTCACTTTTTGACTTAAACATTTGTGTACAAATGAAGATTTGTATAATATGGACATATATTTTTACACCCCTTTGTACATAGCTGAAAATGGAATAGATGGGACTTGTGATGACTCCATGTTTAACCTTTTGAGGAACTGTCAAATTGTTTTCTAAAGTAGTTGCAGCATTTTACATTCCCAACGGCAATGTATGAAGATTCCAGTTTCTTCACATCCTTGTCAACACTTGTTATTGTCTTTTTAATAAAAAATATGTAACAATTGTAATCACTTTAGTATGAAGTGATATCTCATTTGTTTTTGTTTTGAAACAGAGCCTTGCTCTGTTGCTCAGGCTAGAGTACAGTGGGATGATCTTGGCTAAGTGCAGCCTCAACCTCTCGGGTTCAAGTGATGCTTCCACCTCAGCCTTCTGAGTGGCTGGGACTACAGGTGTGCACCATCACACGTGACTAATTTTTGTATTTTTTGTAGAGATAGAGTTTTGCCATGTTGCCCAGGCTGGATCTTACTCATTCTTTCTGAATCACCTTAGGGTTCTGAGTGTCTTTTCATTCTCTGGCTGAGAGTGCTGGGAACTGCTTTTCTGCTCTTCAGCAAAATCGAGGCCTTGTTGGCAGGTGGTATCATGGCTCACCTCCATGTGCCAGGGGGCTGGCTACTTTTCATTGATTGCTTATCCTTTTGATGTCATATCTAAGAAAGCTTTGTGTAACCTAAGTGTTCTCCCAAGAGTTTTATAGCTTCAGCTCCTGGATTTTGTTCTTAGATCCACTTTGCGTTAATTTTTGTTTATAATGTGATGAAGTTGTGCAACTTAATTACTTTGCATGTGGCTATCTAGTTGTCCCAGCATCATCTGTTGAAAATACTATTCCTTCCCCATTGAGTGGTCTATGTATCCTTGATGAAAATCAATTGAGCATAAATTGACTCATATAAAGGTTTATTTCTGGTCTTGCAATCCTATTCCAATGATACATAGATCTATTTTTGTTTTTATGCTAGTCCAGATAGTCTTGATTACTTTAGTTTTGTAATAATGTACATATAAATTTTAGAATCAGCTTCTCAATTTTTGCAAATAAGTCTGTTGGGATTTTGATAAGGGTTGTGTTGAACCTATAGATTAATTTGGAAAATATTGCCATACCAACAACAAATCAATCCATACACAAGGATATTTTTCCATTCCAACATTTCTGTAACTTCTTTCAACAACATTTTTTTCTTCTTTCAACAATCTTTTCAGAATATAAATTTTGCACATCTTAAAATTAATTCCTAATTATTTTTCTCTTTGATGCTGTTGTAAGTGGGATTATTTTTCATTTCATTTCCAGTTTGTTCATTGCTAATGCATAAAAATAATAATTATTGCATTATTATTATACATGTCTTAAAATAATATGTAGTTAATTAGGAGGACAATGATTGATTATTGAATATACTTCTCATCACATATATCTTTAATGAACCAAAATGTTGCATTTTCTCTGCAGATATCACACTACAGAAAGAAAGTCAGGAAGGAATTCCACTCCAGACCAAGAATCAGGAACCTCTAAAACCTCAGGAAAATGTGTCACGACCCATCCACAATCCTTTAGTTTTAAAAACCAATTTTGAGGAAGAAGAGGAAATAGATGAACAAAATGGTTAGTAGACCTTTTCTCAGGTTTATAATGCGCATTCATAAACCTCGCAACATTTTCTACATATGTGTTTAACTATAGAGGTTTATGATGAAATATATAAGGCAGATTTTGCTGAGAACATAACTTTAATTGTATTAAACAAATTTAATTTGTTATGTTCTAATTTGGTCTATGATTATTTGGATTGTAAATTTCTTGTTGTATGATGGCTGAGAGACATATCTGATGCTTAAGTATATACAGGTGTATATATTAGTATATATATATATATATATATATAGAGAGAGAGAGGGATACTAATAAGCTCCTTTTTTATATATAACTGTTTCTAAAACACGTTGATGCACATGTGTTTCTATTTATATACATATGTATTAATAATATATTAGCTTCACATTTAATTCTTGAGTTACAGACATCTATGTAATAGTTAATAATCTATAAAGCACTGTCATCTGCATTATTCTAGATTATCCTCACAAGAGTATGAACAGGTTTAGAACCCAGGTCTTTGCAGTTTAGTTCATCCTTTGCCTCCCATATCAACCCAGCACAGTGGCGCCAGAAAGTGTGTATATACAAGATAAACATGAAGAAAAATAAACTCTCACTCTGTCTTTGTGCTGGAATGTGTCCTTCTGTGGGCTACAGACCACCATAGTTTCTGTGTTTAGGAATACAGAGAGCTACTTATTACTGTTTCCGTGTGCTGCAGCTCCATGTCTCTCATACCTACATCAACCTCCAAATAAACATATACCATCTCAACATTGAGTCTATACATTCAGCGTCTCATTTCGAAGTATATAAAACATAGTCCTTTCTTTTCTCTTGACTAATTCTCTTTAATACTTAAAATGTAGCAACTTGAAACTATTACTAGCGTGTAAAGTTATTGACTTTAAATATATAAAATCATCATCTATCCATGAGAACAATATTTGGGGGTTTTCTTTCTAGTTTATAAATTTTCAGATTATTTGGCTTTGGGAAAATTTAATTTAAAAAATGTATTCTATAGATGCTTCTAGTTTATGGACAAAGACTCCTGAAGAAATTGAAGAAAAAAGAGCAATTAAGGAGATGTGTTATAAATCTGGTAAGAAATCAAACATTTTTTGTATTTTTAATACTTGATGTGATCAATACACTAACCATTACTTTTCTTTTTTTTATTTTTTGAGATGGAGTTTCGCTCTTGTTACCCAGGCTGGAGTGCAATGGCGTAATCTCGGCTCACCGCAACTTCCGCCTCCTGGGTTCAGGCAATTCTCCTGCCTCAGCCTCCTGAGTAGCTGGGATTACAGGCACGTGCCACTATGCCCAGCTAATTTTTTGTATTTTTAGTAAAGACGGGGTTTCACCATGATGACCAGGATGGTCTCGATCTCTTGACCTCGTGATCCACCCGCCTCGGCCTCCCAAAGTGCTGGGATTACAGGCGTGAGCGACCGTGCCCAGCCTAACCATTACTTTTCTTATGGTCGATTAGGAGAGTACTACAGAGTTCATACTCCTCCAGATATTTCATCCTCGAAAAGTGTGGCCCCTACAGCAGAAAAAGAGTCAGAAAAGCCTTTGGAAAGTGGCAGTGAATTGCAAGAAGGTAAGAAATGAAAGGGCAGCATTCATAGTGATATATAAGAGATACTTGGTGTGATAGACTGAATTATTTAGTATGAAGTACAGAAGAATAAAGTGATAAATAATACATTGTAATTTAGAGCTAGAAGAAAGTGTTTGTATTGGATGACCCAAAGCTGCTATTAATGGGACTATGTTATCCCATTAAATGACAAAATGAATAGACTTCACAACACACAATGACACTACACACTCCATGGGGTAATCCTGTAAATGATTTGCTTTTACCATTTTATTTGTCTTTGAGATAAATCACCCCTGTGAAAGAGGTCTAGATTTTTCTTTCTGAATACAAAAGTAAGCCTAGCCCAAGAAGAGATCACAGAATGACGCTAGCGGCAGGACAAAGATTATTTGGTCATTGAATGAGAGGCTTCTGTGGACCAGACTATTTCAGGGGCCGTACTGGAGGACAAATCAAAGGCTCTGTGTTTTATGGCGCTTACTTTTGGAGAATCTGATTTATTGTGGATGAACATCCACAAGATGTTGTGCAAGTCTGTTTGTAGCGAACTATTCAAACGTGTGGCGGTAGGTGGCAGCAACACACCACCAGATGGAGAAGAGTCTGCAAGACTTGGGAGCCATATAGGGAAGGACAGATTGCAAGTCTGCACTACTCTGAGGAGAAAAAACAAAAGGAAACAAAAACAAAAGAAGAAAATAAGTTAACAATGAACATTAAAGATGGTGTATTATGAAGACTGTTATATGTACTTTTGCTTTGTATTATGCCTTCAAGGCTTTTATTTTTATATAGTTTCAGTTAATTTCTATATACCCTTCACCTAGATTTCCTTCAAATGTTAGCATTTTACCATATTTGAATTTTCACTCTCTATATACACATTATTATAATTTTCTGAACTGTTTGAGAGAATAAGTTATAGAAATATCGCTTTGCTTTTACATATCTGTAGTATAAATATAAAAATCAGAAAATTACCACTGATACAACATCGTTTACAACCTTCTTTTCACACAAATTTTACCAATTATACCATTAATGTTTTTTGTAGTAAAATTAATTTTTTCCCCTGGTCTAGGATTCAATCCACAATCACACATTGCATTAAGTTGTCATGTCTCTTTTATTCTGTTTTTGTTTATTTTAGAAGAAAATTATCTAGAAGTGCATGAGGAAAGCCGAGAGTATAATTTAATTATCAGTGTAATTAGCATTTTGTAATGTTAATACGTCTTATCTGATTGTTCAGGGTGAACAGATAAAATCAAAAGCAATATTACAAAATTCATTATATGAGAAACACATCAAACTAAATATATTATGTACATACAATAGTGTTAGATAGCTTAAAAATTTTTAATTGTCATTGAATAAATAATCCCAAATAGGAGAATATACGTGCTTACTTCTTTGTTGACAATTACAGAATTTAAAACTCATATATTTATTAATTTATTGTTTATCAGATCACTGTTCAAATAATACTTGCATTAACTTGAAAGCTTTTTTACTTTCATCATGAATTCTACCATAAATTTCTTATTTAAGCATCTAACAATTTCTGGAGTGACTTTTTCTTCTTATTATTTCTAGGAGATAGTCTTACAGTTCCGACAAAATTTAGCCAATATGAAAGGCAAGGTGAAATAAAATCATCATTGCATAGGAAAACAGGGACTGACATTGCTGCTTCTGAAAATGGAGGTAAGTTAATTTGTTACTGATTGACTGAATCTATCACCACATAATAAATGTCTGAATTTTATCTTTTACAACTAATTTTTCTTTTTTTGACCATGTCATGTTTAACACAGGGAGTTGGAGGTACATCACAAAATCAGTTGCTTTCAGAGACTGAAATCGCTACCAAATACCTTATGTGAATTTGTATTCAGTGTGTAAGACATTCCATTTTCATATTTTAATGAGTAACCTGATGTGTGTGTGTGTGTGTGTGTGTGTGTGTGTGTGTGTGTATGTGTAGGCTCGACTCCAGACTGTAATGAATTTAGGTGTCATATATGTGCTGTAATATACTATAACAGAGCTGTAAATGAAAGAGGCACTTAATAAGTCATTTGAGTAAGTCTGCTTTAAAGCAGCTGTATTCAAATATATATCATGTGTGCCAACACATCACATTCTGTGTATTATAGCTTAAATATTTTGGAACTGCTTTTTAGCATAAACATGTTGGAAAATTAATCCTTTGACTGAAAATTCCAGGCATTTGTTTTAAATATATATATAGAGTTCGTGGGGAGATTGAAATGTGTGGCTGGTGGGAACAATGTGTGTGAAGGTCGGGAAGGGAGTTGAGAGCAGGTATCAATAAGTACCAGTATATCTTAGGCATATTGGTGATACTTTCTGCTGTCCTGGTGTCAGCCATTTTCTTCTGCGTATGTTTTTTTTTTTTTTTTTTTCCTAGTGCTAAAGTAGTTTGATTCTTTCTTCTTTCTTATATCTGCAGCATTTTAGTCTAGCTGGCATTGTTTGGTTGCCTCGAAGCAATAAGTTTAGCTGCAAATTAGAAACACTGGTAGTTTCTCCCACTGGAGTTCCCACTGTCTGTATAACCTATATAAGTGGAATCCACTTAACCTGAGCAATTCTGATTGAACATTTTGTTGAATTATTATTAAATCAAATTGCCTTTTGGTTAATAAAAAGCTATTTTCAACCATTGATAAACTAATGATTTCATATAAAAGTAAACTTTCCTTCATATTGTGAGATTAGTAATATATTCCCTACTTTGTTGGGTGTTAGAAAATGTGAGAATGTCATTATACAGTCATCAGCCTATCTACCATTCTTTTGGTGTGGTTGTTCAACCAGTTTATTACTATAATATTGTTATAAATTACTATCATAAACTGGTTGAACAACCATACCAAAAGGATATTAAAAAAATTCCATCAGCTGGCATTCTAGATTCTGGCATAGTTAGGCTTATTGATTTCCCAGGCATCATAATGTTCTCTGTGTCACTAGATAAAAGAATCTTCTGGGTATATGTATATGATAGATATATCTAAACATATTCAGACCCCTGTATTCATAAGACATCTTTGAAATGAAGATGATCAAAAACTGAAATTATAATTAGTGAGTTAGTGTTTATTTTTAAGAAAAATACTTGAGGTATTGTCTTAATATTGTTTTAATGTGTTATAAACTTTAATAACGTTCACAGATCTGGAGTGAATAGCTTGTTAAAATTTTACATGTATATGTATCAATATAACTGTATTTATGGTACTCCAGATGGCTCCTTCTCTCCAAGTCAGTAGCCTTCTCCCAATGGTAACCACTACTCTGCTCACTCTTACTATAGGCTAATTCTGCATTTTTTGACATTTATATAACTGGAAATATACAGTTTGAACTCTTTTAATTTGGATTCTTTTACTTAATGCTCTTTTTATGAGACTCATCCATGCTGTTGATTGTAGCCTTTTTACATTGCTGTAAATATCTATAGACAGATAGATACATACCACATATATACACACATACCTATATATAAGATGTATACTATATATAGGTATGTATATATAAAAATATGGGCATTTCTTCTCTGTATATAGTATATACATATACACACAGTTGATTCACACACAAACCCACACACGGTTGATTCTTGTTATTCCTGGTAGCTATGTTCTATAAAGCTGACATGAACACTGAATTAGCAAACATTGAACCATTGCTCCTTGGGGAAATACGTACACACACACATATACATACATCTTACAGAGGTTATAATCTTAAATCATAGAAATTACTCATCCTGGTATATTCTGTTTTCTTTATTTTACAAAAGAGAAAACAAAGTTAAGAAATGTTAAGTGACTCTCCTGAGGTTCCCCCACCGACAAGCCTCAGAACTTGGATTCAGATCCCTTCCACCTCTCCCCAGAGTCAGAGCTTCTTGCACTGTGCTGTGCTGCCGCCTCCAGCCATTCTCTGGCATCTCTGTATGAACTGAAATGAGAATGCTGAGCATTGCCATTGTTAGACCTCAGCTAGAAATGTGTGGGTCTAACAACTCAAAATTTTCACCACTCTTTATACGTTTTAAACAAATAAACAAACAAAAAACAACACACGAAAGCACCATGAGTATCAATATTGGGATTTTGATGAACAATATTTCCAGTTTGGGACTATTGTTAACACTCTTGCACATGTCTTCTAAAGGTCATAAATACTCCTTTCCTTTGAGATAAGCTTGCTCTGTATCCTAACCACAATGAGAATTTTCAGTTCTTTAACTTTAGCCTTTCTGGTGGGTGGCTAGTGGTACATCTTTGTAGTTTTAATTTGTATTTCCCTGATGACTCATAATGTTGAGTACCTTTTCGTAAACTTATTGGCCATTTTGACTTTCTCTTTGTCTGGTGCATTTTTAAGTCTCTAGTCTATCTTAAATATTTTTTTTTCCTTATTGATTTCTCTAGATAAATCTGGATACTTTTTGCCAACCTACTGTCCTATTCACTAATTCTCTTCCTCTCTGCTCTTCAATCCATATTTTAAATTCTAAATTTCTGTTTGACTTTTTTATTGATTTTCTACTTAAATTCTCTATCAGTTCTCTATTTTGATAATGTTCCTGTTATTTTTTCCAACTTCTTGTTTGATAACACTTGGATATCTCTCATTTTCCTCAGGTTTTTGCTCATTTGTTCTGTCTTACTATGCCCTTCTAAGGCATATTTGCTAGTGAACGTTATAGATAAAAATTACACAGTGTATGAATAATGTTTTTTAAGAGAGAAACTTTCCTTCTGGCAGGCAGCTAGACTATCAGCTGGCCACCTTAATTCTGTGAAGGACTGGTTTGGGCTTTATTAGGGATGATACATTCTTTTTCATTTCTTTGAAGGTATAGTCCTCATTCCTAGGATATGACCCTCACCCCTACAGCATTGCTTTACTGGGTTGTCAACTGAGACATGGGCTGTTCACCATGATATCTCTACTCTGGTGAGGTTTCTGTGCCAAATTTTACCTCCCAAGCAGAATGTAGATGCTGAAATCTCTGACCAGTTTTTAACCTCCCAGATGCTGTTTTGCTTAATTCCTAGGGTTCCATTCTGTACTTGAAAAATGTGGGAGTCAGGTAACAACCTAAAGGGAGTTTTAGTTTTATGCCTATTTCAGGGGAAATTCTTTGTTGTTCTTCCTTTTTCATTTCCCCCCTCGAGTTCAAGCCAATTAGGCAGTCCCAGACTTTTGGCTCTTTTTTACCTCCTTGGTGTCACTTTCTGCTTGTTATTTCCTTACATGATGAATTAGACATGCTTTCAGTGAGAAAACTGTAGTGAGTGTGGAGTGTAACTCCTTCAGGGAAAGAAGCCAGGGTGAATGTGAACATATAATTGACTTTGTGTCCCTCCATTGCTCTCAGGGATTACACTAGCATGCATTGGGTTGTTTTCCAATCAGTGTGTTTTGGCATTTCATAATTGGTTTTGGGATGAAAGTTATTCTGATAAAAGCCATTTTTGTCATGGCAGAAACCAAAATTTTTTTAACATTCATCACTGGTTTTGTGTAAGCTCCTTGAGGCCAGGAACTGTATATAATCAATCGCCATAGATAAAAATCTGTAGTAGAATGCCTCGCACATTATGTGTACTCAGTAAATACTTGCAGAATAAATAATGATATATTTAAATGCATTGAATGACTGGGTGAATGTAGACATGTTTATAAAATTTACAGCTAACTGGAAGTTAATTTGTTGGAACAATTAGCCATATCTTATAGGGTAACCTCAAACAATAATAAACATACATTCTTACATTTAGTTACAAAACATTAAATGGTGACTTTTCTTTGAGTTGGGGAAACCCAATGTGATGGAGTTTGTGAGGGAAAGATATAGTAGGTTTTTTGGCCACAATGTTTCACAACAATTTAGGAGTTTTCACTAGACAGTTAACTCATATTGGATTATTAGAAGTAGTATGGAAACATAATTAAATGTGATTTGAAGTACTCAGTAGCGGGTCTGATACCTAGAAAATTACTCTATAAATGGCAAATATTATTATACTAGTTTTGCTGATTTCTCTCCACAACTTAGTTTACATTTGGGTGTCATTTTAAAATAAGGTTATTTGACACAAACATTTTGTGTCAAAAGAAAATAAGAATTCATTAAGAAAAAATTCATTAAGAAAAAAATTCATTAAGAAAAGGTAACTTGCACAGTAAAGGAATTTGGAATTTTGTATGTAATGTTTAAAGCAACTATGAATATTTATCCTGGAAAATAGAAGACTTCGGGGAAACATGAAAACTGCTTTAAGATAGCTGAAGATTTTATATGGAAGATAAATTACATTTACTTTGAGTATCTCTAAAGGGTGGCACTAAAGATTATTATAAATTAAGGAAAATTTTGTTGACTCTGAATTTTCTTGCAATTATTTATATTAAGTTTACATACTGTGTATTCATATACATATATATTGATACACATATATTAATCTAAGCATATAAATGTGTGGAGACAGGTATGGTATCACTGAGAAATGTCCAAACAAAGGTGGACAAAAGGGGTGTTGTGGAAAATGTTCCTGTATTGAAAGGTAGTTTGTATCACTTTCTGCCATCATTGCCACTGACAGTAAGGTTTTGTCATAGGAGGTGACTGTTATGTTCCACAGAGGATCATGTTTCTTGGAGTAGATGAAAATGAAGCTTTAATGGAAGAGAAAGAAATCAGCATATCAAAATGTTCAAATACTAAAGGTAATGAATTATTATATAATTTTGATTCATTTCTAATTTGGCTAGACGAGTTAAGATAAGGTTGCTTGTTAGAAAAACCAGTATAAGAGGAATGGTAATAAATCAACATATACACTGAACAGGAATCAAGCCCTCTAAGGTTCCAGTCCTAGCTCTGTCCATAATTGTATGACCATGACAGTTTTTCCTTATCTGAAAAATAGCCTGTTGAACTGTATAATTTCTAGGAGTATTGCTAGTTCTAAAGTTACTGGCTTTCTTAAATGGTAATACCAAGTCCCTTAATATGTAATATCACTATAAATGAATTTTCTTAGAAAATATTTTGAAAATTTTAAAGAGTTTAATCTCGATAAGACTTCTATATTTTATACTTGTTGCTAACACTAGTCTGTGAATAATCAAGACATATGATAAAATACATCCTCTATAGTATTACACTACCTTTAACTGTGCTTAGAATCCACCATCTGATATCTCTCTGCTGAGTGCCCCTCAGTCACAGACTAAAAATATAGCTGTCCTGTAATTAGGGAGCTTCACATACTCTCAATCAAAACGTAAACCCATTTTATCTACTATCTCTACCATTAAATATTCTCAAGCATAAGAAAGGGCACTAGCGATCAAATTATTTCTGTGTAAAATTGTAAATCTTTCTCTCATTTTCTCACTCAAAGATGGAAAGGTTTTGCCCAATCCATCAAAGAAACTCTTAAAGCTGTACTAATATTGTAGCTGCACGCTATGTATGACAGTTTAAATTAAAGTTGAATAGAATAAAAAAATCAGTTTTTCATTGGCACTAGCCACATTCCATGTACTCAGTAGTCACAGGAGGCTAATGGCTGCCATGCTGAACAGCACAGTTTAGAACATTTTCATCATTGTGGAAAGCCCTACTAAGGGGTTCTGCTCCAAAGCATATAAGAAGAAGTTAGTTCTGCTCCAAAGCATATAACAAGTTAAAGTTGTTACATTTAAAATATGTTCAGAACCCCAACTTAAATGGAATCATTCAAGGTAAAAATTTAAAACCTTTTAAAACTTTTGTATGGAGATATTAAAAATATTGCCACAATTTTTTATTTACATATTGAAAATAATGGCTATAGCTTCAGACTTTTGTTTTGTTACTGATGACATTTGGAAATCCATGTGGCAACTAGGGAATGTTAATGATGCTTTCCTCACAATTAATAAACATATATATTATTTTAAAGAACTGTTCCCATCATGTAATGTTTGAATAGTGAAATATCAACTGAAATGTTTTTTAAAACTAATATTGAGGTTTTATTTTCTTAATTTGCTTTAAAAGATAACAAGGGCAGTCCTCATCCAAAGTGTTCCCTAACTACCTGACTAGTATCTGCAACGCATGTATTAAATGCTACTGAGAATATCAGTATGAAGTGCAGAGAGGATCCCTCTTCAAGTGAGACATTAGCTCTATCACTTTTTGGTCTTAGATATATTTGTCTTACCATGGATTTGTATTGGTTATTTAAAACAGAATTTAAAAAAGAAAGAAAAAAAGGTCAAAATTATTTAGAAGTAAGAATTAGAGACACAATATCCTCTACTAACTGACAATGAACTGTGATGTAGGTCCTAGTGCATTATATGCTTTCCCACTAGTTTAATTTGGGTCTTAAAATTAATAATATACTACCTTTTTGGAAGATTCACTAGCATAACATTTTAAATTTCACCCATAGTGGAATAATGCATTGACAGCTTTTTATTATCTTTTGCATTATTTTTTATTAGTTTGGCTTCTCCTTGATATTCAGTTCAATGAACTACTTCTGTTGATACAGTTAAGACTTGTGAATCTTCCTGATCCCTTCCCTTCTTTCTTTTGTTCCTTATTTTATGTATTGAACCCCTAAAATATTCTTGGATTACAGCCTGACACTGATAGGAATAATTGTGATTTGCCTCCAAGAAGCCCAGTTTAGTAGCACTTGTTTAAAATATGGATTCCAAATCGCTGGGAGTAGGGCAGGGGCATGATGTTTGAGGAAGGGACAGTGAATCAGATCTTTATTGAGGGCTTAAAGCTTAAACTGAGAATTAGGGCACAGAAAGATTTATTGGTCTACTGTAGAAAACTAGTATAATCTACACTGTACATTTGGTGATCAGTTTCTCTGTGCAGTGGTCACTTGTGATTTTTCAGAATCCCCACACAGTGAAGTGACAGAATGCCACCTCTACAAAATTTTTTAAAAATTCTCTGGAGGTATGTACCATAGAAATTCCTGAAAAATTGAGACTATATATAAAATTTTTGATGTGAAAATATACAAATAAAAAGCGAAAATTTAATATTCTTAGAACTTACAAATTCTGCTTACTTAGTCTTGACCAAACTCTCTGTACACCCAACTTAAGACCTTAAAAGAATATGGTAAAATTCTCTGAAAGTATTTGATGTTAATCCAACTTCTTAAGAAGTAGTAGTTTTGGCTAAAAAGTACAAAATGATTTATGTTGAAACTAATGATTCTAAAACTACTTAATAAAAGCATTATAATAATATTTATAATTATATTTTGAATGCAATTTTATGTTTCTTTAAAAGAATCCACACATTCCTTTGGAGAAAAGTACTTTTCTTTGAGGAAAGCTGCTTATTGAAGTTTATCTCATCAATCTACTTCCAAGATAGATTTTTTTTTGGCACTTAAAAATAAATCACCTTTTGTCCTAAAAAGTAAGGTATTAGGGTAGTACATTTATTTTTTACTCTTGCTTGACATGTGAATGCACAGATGTGTAATTATCACCTACAGTAATTTCAAAGATAAAAGCATCTCTTAAAAAAACTGTAAAATTTGTATCTTTTCTAAGTGAGTGGTGTCCAGCCGAGGAAGCCTCATTTTAAAGGTGTGAAAAAAAGAAAATGGATTTATGATGTACCAAAGAACTTTCCTGGCTCTGGAATGCAGAGAGGTAAAGTGTCCCTATATTTGATATTTCTAAATGGTAATTTTAAAAGAAAGTAACTATCAGATATCTTCTACCTGAAAAATAAATTACTGTCATGTGACATAGATGTTACTTTAGGTGTCAACTCAACTTCTCTAAACTTCATGATTTTGGCTTCCATTATGCCATCAAGTACTTACAGCACAATATGTAATTTATGGGTGTGAAACCAGCCTGTTTTATTTCTCACTCCCTCCTGTCTTTCTTTACAGCAGTACAGACCCCAAGTCCCCAAAATAAAATGAGTTACCATCGCAATAATAAAAATCAAAATACCAAGAACGCATCCTATGTTCACATTCAAAGAGATGCCGTCAGGAGTGTCTCGTTGAATGCACCTCCCCGCAGCAGGCCCACACAGGGGTCCTACAATAAAGTCCATGTTAACAAGGAACCCAAACCCAACCTCAGTCCAGGTGAGAGGCCCTTTCTTGATGTGGTTTACTCTTGTCTGTGGTTTGCACTCCCATGGAATTTTCTGATGGCTTGGCTAATCTTCACTGCTACCTACTCCCCTCTTCTTTTTCCTGGCCATCACCACCATAGAAACTAGTGAGAAGATTTCTTCCATATGCACTCCTGCACATGATACGGAAGAAAACTCATGTTGTGTGCAGGTGACTTCACATTGCACCTCCCTAGAGTGTTTTTTTTCTTTTATCAGAGCACTGCACTTTGTTCCCCATGGACAGCTTCATGTCACTCTGGAGGATTGTTTTTAAATGGCTGACATTTTCTTTTTCCATTAACTACATTGTTCAATTATCACTGTCAGACTAGTGCCTTGACATTTCTGTAGGCCTTCATGATTATTTTCTGAAAGGGTTAGTTTGGGGATTAACTGCCATATTTTTGACAACCTCTCATCCCTCTCACCATGTATAGATTGCTTCTAAATCATTTCATCATGTAATAGGCAAAGTCATAGTATATGTCAGGAAGTACAAGGCTACCAGGGAGAAGGGAACCAAGTCTCTTTTTCTTCCTGTTTCTCAGATGGATTTCGCTCTTTTGAAGTTGAGTTTCGTTTCTTTCAACTTAACAAAATGCTGCTCAATTCTATATGATTTCATGTTTGTATTTTTCCTTGTTCACGGTCTGATTAGTGGAGTTTCTAAATATTTTGTACTTTTGGAAGCATAAGACTATATCTTTCTTAGTTTATTTTACAATTTAAGAAATATATACCCCTACTATGTACCCATAAACATTTTGTTTATGTCAACATTTTGTTTATGGGTACATAGTAGGTGTTTCTTATACAATTTAAATAGACATTTGCATTATTTGAGTTATTTTTCTCTTTTTTTTTTTAGAATAGAATGATACAGGAATGTGTACATGTAAATCAGGATATTCTTAGGTGAAACTGGCTTTTAATTTTATTTATTACTATTGTTTTATTTATTGTTATTGTTATTATTGTTTAACTGCAAGTGGATGGCTGTGAAGAATACAGTGAGTACTACAACAGTTGCCAATGTCTAGATTTGTGTGAAGGTGCCAGAGTTTATACTCTGTATTGCTTTTGCACCATTAGTGCAAATGTCAACACAAAAGAAAAGCAAATTATTGGTATTGTGGATCATGTTTGAGAACACAGCTGCATAGTAATATTTGAAAACACAAATATAACATTGTTAGATAGTATTAGAAATGTAGATATGTCAGAGAAAAATAAGTATTGAAGGATCAGGTCAGGGTATAAATGCTTTGGCTGTCTGGGGTAGTGAGTTCACTACTTCATCATGCCACTTACTGCAACCATGGAAGTCACTTCATGGAAGGACACAGGACTTGGGCTGTACCTCATAGTTTCACAGTTTTTAAATAAAAGTTCTAACAAACATTAGCAGAACTTATGTAAAACTATGATGAATATAATGCAGTGAACATTTTTATTACATTTAGATATTTATACTCTCCTGTATCTTACCTTCATTTGAAGCATTTAACAGCCAATTAATAATCTGTAACCATGTTCACTTATAACTTAAATTGTCTTAATAAACTCACTTGTATCCCTGATGCCTTAGCTTTGAAATGGTAAAATAAATCACTTAGAGAATAGCTTCACCCCTGAGATGTTTATAACTTTGAAAAACCCTTGGAATATGATTTTAAAGTTATAAAATATTTAATCCTGGATTTTTTTCCCTCAGACAAATATACGTCAACAACATATAATGGTTCAGCCTGGCGAAAACGAATTCCTTTTTCAAAAACATATTCAAAAAGTGAAAAGATATATCCAGGTAATTATTTAGAAGTGGTTTTAATGTATTATGCAATTCAGAAAATAAATAAGTTTTTAAGTACAAGGAATATTTTAGAAAACATGAAGATAAATAAAAATTTCAAGATATATATGCATATTTAATTACTTGGAGTTGAGTAGTTATCTTGTCTACTAGTAATTTAATTCGACTGTTTTGCTGTGTTCCTCTTTGCCTATTTTTATGTGTTACCAGAAAAGGTTTTTATACAGTTCTCTCCTGGGCAACAAACAGTAATTGCAGCAATTATGTAATATGTTAAGATGGATTTTTTGCTGTGCTACAAATCAAATACATTAAACTGTGTCTTAACACAAAACATTTAGGCTTTGCTATATCTACCATAGACAAATATTGGCTGGTACAGGCTGACAGGACATCCAAGATGAAATTTCTCAGCCAGTAGGTTCTGAGGGACTGTGGTCTCCCTCTTTGTTGAACCCTGTCCTGTGGGAGACTGGGGATCCTTGGAACCTCCTCAGGGTAGAGGTTTATAGTAATCCTGACCTCAAGTTGTTCTTTTGCTCAACAGCTTGGTGTTTTCTTCCAGACTGTCCTGGGCTGGTTCAGTAGGTTTGGAAATCCACACAGGATAAAATGCTTTCAATTACATCTCAGACAACTGAACATTTCAAAAAAGTTCTAGTTAGGGAAGTCCTACTGACTACAACTGTGACTCAAGGCATGGATCTGTGTTATATGTTTATATACTGGGACAACTGTTTTCCTTGTATCCCCCGTCTTTCCCAAATCATACTATGTGCAAGAGAACTCTGTTGCAGTGCTATTTAATTGATTATACTTTCCCTTAAATTTGTGTGAATTTTCACGTTATTGCACTGAATTTGGGGGGTAGCGAAAGAGGTGAGGAGTTGATGAATATCCTGAGTGAAACTTGTTGAGCTCTACAGCCTTTCTCCCATGGTCCTCTTATGCCCAAGGTGATATTTGGAGTATTAAAGGATGTGCTCCTTCCTTATCCCCATCTTAATGACTTCTCTTGTCTTTTAGTAGACTTCTCCCCTCCCATTCCAGATAGTTAAACAAGAATTACAGAAGGATATTTGGGAAAGGAAGGGTCACTTCAGCACATAATATACGTACCATCTATGTCTAGCTGTGAATCTATGCATCCAGGAATGGCTGCATTGCAGTTCCCAGATACAATCTAGGGAGAAAAGCTTTGAGGAAAAATTTTGCAATGTTATCTGGGTTAGGGGGAAGGCAAGTCATGTCTAATACGAGAGGACTGGAGACAGCCTCTTGAGATTTTCAAGTGCAAGTTTGCATAGGAGGGCACCTCACATCCCTGTGAGCCTCAAGTAGGAGAGAGTTTGTGGGAGGGAAATGAAGTCTTCTGGCTGGGATTAAAAGGAAAGTACCAGAAAGAGGCTCTTGTTGAGCCATATTGGGATGGGGTGGTATTTAGCTGTAATCTCAACAGATTGCTTCTGCCAGAGAGTCAAGGAGAAACTGAGCCAGCATCCACTGACCAAAACTTTGTTAATTAAAGTACGGTCTGAGGACTAGCTGCAGTGACATCATCTGGAAGCATTTTAGAAATGTAGAATCTCCATCTCAGATCTGATGAATTAGAATTTGCATTTTAACAACATTCCCAGGTGATTAGGATACACATTAAATTTCAAGGAACCTTAGACTGGCTATCTAGGCCGGCATTAAAGAAAGATAAGAGCTCAGCACAGGGCCCACCCATGTCAAGACTGTTGAAATTATATTCTCGTACTAGCTCTCTCACAACCAGCACCATTCTCTCCTGTTCCACTTCCAGAAATTAGAATCAGTAGCAGGGAGTTGGGGTACAGAGAAAACCCTGAGAAAGAATTTTAAATCTGAATGTGACTGAAATTTAAAAGTGAGGTGCCTAATAAATCAGTGAATTGAACTGAATTTACATGCAAAGGAAGAATGAGGACTTAAGAAATTAAATAGATTTTATAATGAAATCATTTGTTTTCTTATTTTCTTTTGATTAGGAAATGCATAACCTCAAAATGGTTATCCTTCCCAATTGCTATCATCACCAGAATAGGAAGAGAGAGATTACTGTGGGTTTCTTCCTGCACATATTCTTGCTAGGTCACAGAGCAGCAATTTCAGCCTTTCCCAGGGGACAGATGGACTGCTGGAGGAAAGGAAGCAGAAAACACAAGCTGCCATGAGTGTGTTCCTCTAGGGGGCTGGCAGCCAGGGCCATAGAAGTGCAAATGGACAGGAGAAGCCTTTTGGAAAAATGTTGTTGGATACTCTGGGGATAATGCAATAATAGAGGAAAATACACGTGTCTGTGGGAATTAGGGGCGAAAGCTGAGGGCAACTAGAGATGTCATTCTCATCAGTGAACTTCCCTTGAGGCCACATGTTCTTTGTAATAGGGATATTGCTGGTGTGAGTGGAGGTGCTTGTCTTCATATGATGGAGCCTCCATTCTGTTCATTCTGTGTGTCCCATAGCACAGCCTTATATATGGGGTCACTGCCATTCTTTTCCCCCGCTTCATCCAAATGCAAAAACACAGTAAGCATAGAAAAGAAGTGGGCTATTTGAATGGCATCTTAAAAATTTATAAATTAAAACAAGATTAGCTTTTGCTTTTCCTTTAGATTTAATTAGCAAAAGAGGAACAAAATATCAGTGCACGAAACAAGAAAATAATTGAAATATTTTGTATATTTTATTATTAGAGCCAAGAAGAAATGGGAGCAGGTAACCTGGAGGTTGAGAGAAGAGAAAAATGAGAAAAAAAGTGCCAGACACAATCTGATTTACAATCAAAAATGAAAATTCAAAGAATGAGATACTCAAGTACTCTATGCTGTATACTGGATAGCCAAAGATGATAAAAATGCAAATTCTGAAAATAAGATGCAGGAAGTACATTGTGCTCTTTCAAGACTGATAAAAATGCAAATTACAAACAGCTGCCAGTGTATTTATGTAGGTGTGGAATTCATTCTGTGCATTACTACAAACATTTTAATAAAATTTAAAAGTTTGACAATTAAAATCACTCCTTTATTGTAAACCAAGCTAGACTGCAGAGATTGAGAAGTAAAATTGTGCCTTTGATTTCTATTTTGCAATATTCCTTATGGAAGAAACTCACTTTTTCTTTCTTTACCTGGATTTTTAGCGGGGCCCTCAGCAATGATAACACATAAAGTATAAATAAATTGAATGAAGTCCCAGCATTACAGTTTGGTGATGAATATATCAGAGGAATTCCAATAGAAATACACTTTAATGTGTGATAGAAAGAGATGAAGATTGGTTTATTAATTCAGGATAGTTGTTAAACAATGTGTTTTGATTGACAACTACAGAATCTGCTGAGGTGTGCTAGATTCAAACCAAAAAATAAACAATTTCCTACCATGAAAATAAAAATCATATGGTTATATTGGAGAAAAGGATGTATTTAAGAAAAAAGTGAATAAATAACATGGTGTCCAAAATGTCTTGGTGATATTTTAAGGCGTTAGTAACTCCAGAAGCATAAATATTTACAAGTGAAGAGAGACATCATTTGGAAACTAATTTTGATTTATTTTTGGCCTTTTTAGAATTGTGTTTTGAATAGTACTTCTTAATTTAATTTTTAAAATGTTCATCAAAATTAACCACCTGCAGTGACTGAAACAAAAACATAAAAATTTATTCTTTAAACTTAAAAACATGTTTGAAAGCAATATAAGTAATTAACATTTAAAATGATGTTTTTGTAAGTTTGTAGCATTTATACTTCTGAGTTTATCAAAGCTTAGAAAATCACTAAGATTTTAGGATATCTCATATTTGCATGGATTTTGTGGTTATTGATATCATCTTTTTCAGTATTTATTGGGGGGAAGGAATCAAGGTTCTTAGAAATATTTTATTTTAAAGCATCTTTTTATGACTTGGAGTAAAAAGCCCTAGTTTTTGGCTTCTAATGGTGCTCTGCATACACACTTTCAAGCACATGGGGATAGAGTCATTTATTTTTTAACAAGGGAGAAGATATAAATGAAAACTGTGGGCTGGGTGCAGTGGCTTATGCCTGTTATCATAGCACTTTGGGAGGCCAAGGCAGGTGGATTGCTTGGGCTCAGGAGTTTGAGACCAGCTTTGGCAACATGGTGAAACACTGTCTCTACCAAAAATACAAAAATTAGCTGGGCTTGTTGGTGCATGCCCGTGGTCCTAGCTACTCGGGAGGCTGGAGTGGGAGGATCACTTTGGTCTGGGAGGCAGAGGTGGCAGTGAGCCAAGATTGTGCCACTACACTCCAGCCTGGGTGACAGTGCGACCCTTCCTCAAAAACCAAAAAACAAAAAAACAATAAATAAATAAAATGGAAACCATACCAGCAAAATATCTTGATGAGATAGAGTTGAGAGGGATGTAAGATAATAGTTGAGTTGACAGGCTGTCTAGATTGAAGCTGATGGGAGACATAATTTCATTTAATGAACAGATCTGTGTCCTTCTAAAACTTCAACTAGTTATGAAGAGTGAAAGGTTCTAGGAAGAAAATTCAAAAGACCTTCCTGAAATACAGATTCTCAGTGTATGTTTATTATATATTTAGTGCTGAAGAATCAATGAGGAATAAAATCTGAAGGAAGGCCTGAATGTGACTGTACAAATGTTCTCGAATAAATGGAAAATTTTATCGTGATAAGTTTTGTCTAAAGGATCACATATATGACAGCATTAGCCAACTCTGTTTCTATGTGTGTGATTTAGGAAAAAGGCAATTGGTTTAAATGGGGGTAAACTATAAACCAGGGAGGAAGAAGGTAGCAAACCTCAAATAAGAAAATATAGGAGACAACAAAATAAGTGAACAACAAAAAAATTAGTAAGCTAGCAAAAACCTATGCTTGCTGATTCCTGAACTTGCAAATAGTATATGTAAACTTAAGTTTCATAATGCCAGTGGGTGCATAATTGCTTTCGTATCACATCTAAAAGCTTTTGATATCTTTCACTGGAGTTCCATGACTCTACTCTTCAACATGCAGCATTGATAAAAATGATAATAAAAGTAGCATGTATTAAATGCTTAGCACATTAATTTGCCAAGACTGCTGTAACAAAGTACAACAAATTGAATGTCTTAAGCAACAGAAATTTTTTTGTCTCATAGTTCTGCAGGCTAGAAGTCTGAAATCCAGGTGTCAGCAGGTTTGGCCTTTTCTGAGGGCTGTAAGGAAAGGATTTGTTCCAGGTCTCTCTCCTTGGCTTGTAGATTGCTGTCCTTTCCCTGTGTCTCTATATATATGATTGCCCTCTATATATGTCCCCATGTTCAAATTTCCCCTTTTCATAAAGATATGAGTTTTATTGTATTAGAGGCCATCCTAATGACTTCATTTGATCTTATCTCTTTAAAGACCCTGTCTCCAAATAAGTTAACAGTCTTAGGTAGCAAGGATTAGAACTTCAACATATGAGTTTTGATGAGGACATAGTTTAGAAAAGGTCTTAGACAAATTCACTTTTAACATTCCAGTCTCCCTATGCCTTCAAATCCTTTCATCTACAGTAAACAAGGGCATTTCTAGCTAGTTCACTTTTGGCCATGTTTCCGGCCCATGTTGAAGACAATAAACCAAACAGAGCTCTTTCTTTCTTTCTTTCTTTCTTTCTTTCTTTCTTTCTTTCTTTCTTTCTTTCTTTCTTTCTTTCTTTCTTTCTTTCTTCCTTTCTTCTTCTTTCTTCTTTCTTCTTTTCTTTCTTTCTTTCTTTCTTTTTTCCTTCCTTCCTTCCTTCCTTCCTTCCTTCCTTCCTTCCCTTCCTCTTTCTTTCCTTCCTTCCTTCCTTCCTTCCTTCCTTCCTTCCTTCCTTCCTTCCTTCCTTCCTTCCTTCTTCCTTCCTTCCTTCTTTCTCTTTCTTTCTTTCTTTCTTTTTGCTTCTCTCTTTTTTTCTTTCTTCTCCTTTTTTGGTTTAAATTTGAGACAGCATCTTGTTCTGTCACTCTGGCTGGAGTGCAGTGCCGTGATCATGGCTCATTGCGGCTTTGACCTTCTGGACTCAAGTGATCCTCCCACCTCCACCTCCTGAGTAGCTGGAACTACAGACATGTGCCGCCACACCTGGCTAATTTGTATATTTTCTGTAGAGACAAATTTTAAACATGTTGCACAGGCTGGTCTTGAACTTCTGGACTCAAGAAGTCCACCCACCTAGTCCTCCCAGACTGCTCAGATTACAGGTGTGAGTCACTGTGCCAAGCCAATAAGAGCTCCTTCTAACTCCCCAAGCCACCACATTAAATGTGGAATCTTTGCACAATGGGTCTATGTCAATAAATTTGGACTGATCCAATTTTATTTTCTTTCCACCACTATTCCACACCTTTAGTATCCATTCCCAGACATATTCCCTTTATTCCAATCTGTATAAATTAGAAAACTTAAGTAGTTCTTTTGGAGTGTAACATACCTCCTCATGGATCACACTTTGTACCTCATCTTTAGGGGGCTGAGTCTAGTTATGGGTCTAATATCAAAGAAGGATAGTGGGGTCTTGAGAGGCATTAGTATCTTTTAAGACAACTGTTAGGGTTAATCTCAGATGTGGGTGGAGTGGTTGCTTCTACTGAGAGTGGAGCTACTATTTTTAGTGGTGAAGAAAACTCAGAATTTAGGGGCTCAATGTCCCCACTTTTATCAGAGTCTTGCTAAGTATCCCCATTCCAACTTTCAGGATCACATTCCTTCCCAGTCCATGTCCTCACTAGTTGACACCCCTTACAAACCTGGGAATTCTATTTGCATTGTAAGTTATCCACTTGCAAGATGAAATCTAGGGTTTGGTTTTCAGCAATTTCAGTCTGTGGCTACAGGAAATAACACTCTCTTTTCAGGGCAGGTATGCAACTTTCAGGTCATTTATGCAGCGCCTGAACTGGAAATTCAAATCCTTGGGCTTATAATTTTTTTTCCTCCACTTTCTTCAGGGATATTAGAAGCAAGCAGCAAAGCTCATTATACTTGTTAGTTTGACAAAACTGTTCAAAGGTCTCATAAATGTGTCAACAGATATTTGCCTTTTATAAGTGGTTGATTAGGAGTTTCCATTTTGCCTATTTCTATTGCCACATTATGCCATGAACTATTAATCTTCTCTCTAGAGTTGGAAATAGAGTTATTATTATGTTTAATTAGATTATGTAGCCAATTCCAGAAACCTTAGAACCAATTCAAGAAACCCATCCTTAGGATTTTACTCCTTTAGAACTACACATGCTATGAAAATCTGTATTAGTCAGCATTATCCAGAGAAATGCAACCAATAGGATGCATGTCTATGTACAGGAAGAGATTTACTTTAAGAAATTGGCTTGTGGAATTGTGGAGGCTTAGTGAATCTAAAATCAAATGGGGAAGGCCAACAGGCTGGAGACTCAGCAGGTAGTTGCAGTTCAGGTCTGAAGGCAGCCTGCTGGAAATGTCCTTCTTGCTGGGGAGAAGTCAAGTTTTTTATTATAATCAGGTCTTCAACTGACTCGTTGTGGCCTACCCACATTATGGAAGGTGAGCTGCCCAATGTAAATCTCATCCAAAATCACCCTCACGGAAACATCCAGAATAATGTTTGACTAAATATATGGGCATCATGGCTCAGGCAAGTTGGCACATAAAATTAACCATCACATCGGACCTGGATAATCCAGGATATTTTCACTATAAATAGGCAGGTGGTTAGCAAACTTACCCTTTGCCAAATAACCTAACATATCCACAGGTTCTGGGGATCAGGATGTGGACATCTTTAGGGAGCCACTTTTTTCTGCCTAACACGACTACCTTTCATGTGCATAATAAAAAATAGTTGTTACTATGTAGCAGAAACTATACTACATAAAATAACTCACTAAAAATTAAATCTTCTCTTCACCTAAACAAACAATGAGCTAGGAAGAAGCCACCCTGGGCCACCCTGGGATAGAGATGTCAGTCTTGAAGCCATTGTGGTAAGTCTCCTGATCAAGGTTTCTTCCCCATT